AAAGTGCCATATTATTCAAAGTGATCTATAGATTCAATAAATTCCCAATGAAAATTTCAGTGTTTTTTTTTCCCCCACGGAAATGGAAAATGCAGCTTTACAATTTACATGAAAGTACAATAAACTTTGAATAGCCGGAAGCCTTGTGACCAAGGCTTGTGACCAAAGCAGTCCTGAGGAAAGACAAAAAAGCAAAAGAACATTATACTTTATAGTGTCAAACTATATTTCCAGACTATAGTCATAGAAACGTGGTGGAATGTGCAGAGAAATTAACAAACACCACTGGAACAGAAACCACTACTCTCAAACAAAACCATTTCAGACATGATGCAAAAATAGAACCTAAAAACTGGCTTAGCAAAGAGTTTCTCAATATTAGGCAGATATTTATGTGTCCCCAAAACAGTGAAAAAGCAGTCAGATTATGCTATTTGTTATATGCCATGAAGAGCACTTTGGCTCTCCCTGTAAGCTTGAACAAAGATCACTGAGGGGAAAGTAGAACCCTTAAAAAATTTGCCGGGCTCAGTGGCCCACGCCTGTAATCCCAGCACTTTGGGAGGCTGAGGCGGGGGGATCACGAGGTCAAGAGATCGAGACCATCCTGGTCAACATGGTGAAACCCCGTCTCTACTAAAAATACAAAAGATTAGCCGGGCATGGTGGAGCATGCCTGTAATCGCAGCTACTTGGGAGGCTAAGGCAGGAGAATTGCTTGAACCCAGGAGACGGAGGTTGCCGTCAGCCAAGATTGAGCCATTGCACTCCAGCCTGGGTAACAGGAGCAAAACTCCATCTCAAAAAAAAAAAAAAAAAAAAAAAATTTAAAAGCATAAGACAGAAGATGCCTCCATGTGAGAGGAAAAATTGTTTTGTGGGGGGATGAAGTCTCCCTTTGTCACCCAGGCTGGAGTGCAGTGAAGTGATCTAGGTTCACTGCAACCTCTGCCTCCTGGGTTCAAGCAATTCTCCTGACTCAGCCTCCCAAGTAGCTGGGACTACAGGCGTGCACCACCATGCCCGGCTAAGTTTTGTATTTTTAATAGAGACAGGATTTCGCCATGTTGGCCAGGCTGGCCTCAAACTCCTGACCTCGTGACCCACCCTCCTTAGCCTTCCAAAGTGGTGGGATTACAGGTGTGAGCCATCATGCTCAACCTGAATTTTTTTTTTTTTTAATTTTTAAGTATTTCAGAAACATTTTAAGTGTTTTAAAGTAATGGCTGCATCCTTGTTTTCCACAGTCAATATGGGTTTCATTGCATCATCAACAGATTTGGTGATTTAAAAAAAATTTATAGTTGCCATTCTAATGGGTGTTGATTTTATTTTTCATTGTGATTTTTATGCATATCTCTATGAATTCATGATCTTGTATGTCTTTTTAAATGCTTTTTTCCAGTTGTGTACCTTTTCTGATGAAAATTTACTTCAATTATTTGCCCGTTTTAAAATCAAGTTATTCAACGTTATTGTTTTGTTTCAAGAGGTGTTTATTCTGAATATTAAATTATATCACATGTGATTTGCATACATTTTCACCCATTTCCTAATAGACATTATCACTCTGTTGAATGTTTCCTCTGATTTACAGAAAATTTGAAGTATAGTCAGGTAAATTTTTCTATTCTTTGTTGCTTATGCATATAATGTTTTGTCTAAGAAAATGAGGCCAGTCCGATGTCATGAGTTTTCACTATATTTTTTTTAAAGGAATTTGTTAGATTTTTTTTAATGTCCAAGTATTTTATTTAAAATAATTTTTGTATTTGTTTCAAGGAAAGGATCTAAATTTATTTTACCAGTGTTGATATCCAGTTTCTAATATTATTGTTTTTTATTTATTTGAGACGGAGTCTCCCTCTGTAGCCCAGGCTGGAGTGTAGTGGCACGATCTCGGCTCACTGCAACCTCTGCCTCTTGGGTTCAAACGATTCTCCTGCCTCAGACTCCCATGTAGCTGGGACTACAGGTGGGTGCCACCATACCCGGCCAATTTTTTGTATTTTTCGTAGAGACGAGATTTCGCCGTGTTAGCCAGGATGGCCTCAGTCTCCCGGCCTCGGTCTCCTGACCTTGTGATCCACCCGCCTTGGTCTCCCAAAGTGCTGGGATTACAGGTGTGAGCCACCGCGCCCGGGCTATTTTTTATTTTTATTTATTTATTTTTTTGAGATGGAGTCTCCCTCTGTTGCCCAGGCTGGAGTGCAGTGATGCGTTCTTGGCTCACCACAACCTCCTCCTCCTCCCAGGTTCAAGCGNTAAGATGGCGTTTCACCATAATGGCCAGGCTGGTCTTGAACTCCTGACCTCAGGTGATCCACCCACCGCCTCCCAAAGTGCTAGGATTACAGGCGTGAGCCACCGCGCCCGGCCTTAATTCTGTAGCTTTGTAATGTATTTTGAAATCAAGAACTGTAATTCATTCCAACATTATTCCATTATATATTAAATTATATCACATGTGATTTGCATACATTTTCACCCATTTCCTAATAGACATTATCACTCTGTTGAATGTTTCCTCTGATTTACAGAAATTTTGAAGTATAGTCAGGTAAATTTTTCTATTCTTTGTTGCTTATGCATATAATGTGTCTAAGAAAATGAGGCCAGTCCAATGTCATGAGTTTTCACTATATTTTTTTTAAGGAATTTGTTAGGTTTTTTTTATGTCCCCGTATTTTATTTAAAATATTTTTTTGTATTTGTTTTAAGGAAAGGATCCAAATTTATTTTACCAGTGTTGATATCCAGTTTCTAATATTATTGTTTTTTATTTATTTGAGACGGAGTCTCCCTCTGTCAGCCAGGCTGGAGTGTAGTGGCACGATCTCGGCTCACTGCAACCTCTGCCTCTTGGGTTTAAGCGATTCTCCTGCCTCAGCCTCCCACCTAGCTGGGACAGGTGGGTGCCACCACACCCGGCTAATTTTTTGTATTTTTCGTAGAGACGAGATTTCGCCGTGTTAGCCAGGATGGCCTCAGTCTCCCAGCCTCGGTTTCCTGACCTTGTGATCCACCCGCCTTGGTCTCCCAAAGTGCTGGGATTACA